GTTTTTTGTCCTCTCTATAGGGCGTTTTTCCAAGCTCTCCCTACTTTAAACATGTCGGGCCTACCTCCCCAACAACCCCCAACCAGGCTAGGCTTGGCTGGGGAATTCTGGGAGTTGAAGTCCAGACGTCTTAAAGTGGCCAAGGTTGAGAAACACTGCCATAAAGGCAGCAAAAAATGCCGTGCACACAAACAAGCCACAACATTGTTGAGAACAAAAATACCCAAACTGCAAGCATGAAGACCCAACTTCATAAAACAGAACAGCTCTTTTTGACTTATGACAAACCCTGCCTGATTATACGTCACTATCACCACATTAAAAACGCAGCACAGCTGGCTCTGTTTCGTGTTTTTAGAGCCTTCTCCTCTCCCAAGCTCCTGTGCGTCCGTCTCGGCAGAGAAAAGATTTCCCAAGATTTGTTTCGCCCCAATTTCTCAATCTGCTCCGCAGCCGTGGGCTTTCCCGGCTATTCAGCCTGGCTGGCTCTTCTTCAAGGTCAGCCAAGGTCAGCAAAGCGCTGCGACTAACAAACCCGAATAAATAGGCAACATCCATAAATGAAACAGACCATAATCTGCTGGTTGCGTGCCAGAAAGCCATAAGCCCTGCATGCTTTTATGAAAACGTGCACCGACATAAACATTCGCTTGTTAGTCTATTTCACTCCATCGCTGGTGAGCCCTGGAAATTTAACTGGGGTTGATTTTTGCAGAGTTTTAACAATGCACCCACCGCCCTGTGCGCGGCTGACGTCTGTCTCCCTTAGGGCTTGGAGGAAAGCTTGCCTATTTATTGTACCAGAAGACCTGCTTGAGGTCTACACAGAAGGGTTGGCAGCATAGAAATCCCCACCTGCTTCTTAAAACCCCCAGGAGGAGGCTGGGTTCCTATAAACCGCTAAGCAAAAACGGGATTGGGTATTTGCAGTTCGTGGGTTGTGAGAATCCAGCCCCGGTTGCGTGAACGAGGCTGTCCCCCTGAAGCCATAATAGGCATTGTTTGCATGTCGTGTGAATCGAACCCGCTGCATTTTGCTCACCTGGGTTGGGTTGAGGGCAGGTGGGTGAATCCAGCCTTTCAGTAAAAAACCTGGCAGGGCTATCGCGACGTTTCTGCCCGCAGTGCCCATTGCCACCCACCAGCGACAGAGTTACGGATCGTGCTGGTTATACGTCCATAACCAGCCTACCACCTTGTTGTTTTGGGAGTGTCCCGCACTGCAGGGCTGTTGTCGGCTTCTCCCTCTAAGCCCCAACACCCCCTTTGGGGAGCCGAGAAGCCTGCCGTCACCTTGGCAGACTTCCGGCTTTTTAATGTTGAAAAAGCAAAATCAATACAAACGTTATTAGCAAGGATTTGTTTCCCTTCCAAATCTCATTGCAGAAATTGCCCCATCCTTTTTTTTACAAGGAAACAAAACCCCTTTTCTCTAACCATAATGTATGAAGTCATTCTCTCGTTCGTATAATGGATAGATGCTCTTAAAAAGTTGGAAGGGACCAAAAAGATCCAAGGGAACACAATATCCTTGCTTCTGGCTTATAATCAGACGTTGCACGGTTCAATAGACAGCCGAAGAATAAAAATTACGTTCTCGTTCCACCGAGAAAATAAAATTTAACTCGGGGCAGGAGATCCCGGTCCTTTGCAAAGCGGGGGGGCTTCGTCGCCAACCGCCTTCAGCAGCTGCCTTGCACGGAATCCAATCATTTGCAATAAAAGCAGAATCTGGCTGATTTTAAAGCCAGCCTTATTGCTAGCCCCAGCCAAAGAGGGGGTGTGGCCTGGGAAAAGGGGGGTGGCTTGAGGAAAGGGAGGGGCTAGGGTTCCGTGCATTTGCATACATTTGCATTTGGCAAGAGATCTCAGATCATTCGCTGGGCTCCTAATTGTTATAATTAAATATCCCGTGAGCCCACCGGATGGTGAACTGTGTTACGTCTTTGTAGTTGTATTATTTGTTCTAGAAAATCATCCAGACCTGTGTTTCTCGAATCCACGGTTTGGAAGGGGTGCAAAAGGGACACCTTTGCGGGGTGCCTGCAACATCTTCAAGAGTCTGGAAGAGATGTCAGTGGAAGTAGAAAAGAGGGTGTGTGGATTTTATAGCCTTGAAATTAGGCCTGGTACACTGCTGATGTGAAGCCAGAATATGGTCAAGTATCTTTTGGCCAGCTGGTGGCAACCATCGCCCAGAAATGAAATGGTTGATTTCCATCAAGGTCGTCTCTTTCTACTTTAGCCCATCCTTCACCCCTCCTTGCTCCTCTCTTGGCACATCTTGCTCCTCCAAGGCCACCGGCGTTTCATCTTGGCTAAATGAAACCACATTTGGGACAGAACAACACCAGGACAGGCAGAGAGAAGGATTCCTAATCCTCCCTCCCTCCCTCTTTCTCCTTCCTTCCTGCCCGCCTGCCTGCCTGCCTCTTTCTCTTTCTCTTTCTCTTTCTCTTTCTCTTTCTCTTTCTCTTTCTCTT